TAAGCAAAAAGAAAAAAGCCGGAAGTGGTGCTGTGGCTCAAGTGGTAGAGCGCTAGCCTTGAGCTGAAGAGCTGAGGGACAGCGCTCAGGCCCAGAATTCAGGCCCCATTACCGGAACCAAAAAAAAAAAAAAGAAAGTAGAATACTAATTGCTAGAGATTAAGAAGGCTTGAGGAAGGATGGAGGATGGAAAAGAGAAGTTGGATTTAATTAATGCCATATGCATAACAGGAAATATCATCCTGAATTCTGTAATATCATTAACATATCCTTTTTTTTCTGGCTGTGAGCTTGAACTCAGGGCCTAGGTGATGTCCCTGAGTTTTTTTGCTCAATGCTAGCATTCTATCACTTGAGCCACAGTGCCACTTCCAGCTTTTTCTGAGTAGTTCATAGGAGATGAGTCTCACAGACTTTCCTGCCCAGGCTGGCTTTGAACCATGATCCTCAGATCTCAACCTCCTAAGTAGTTAGGCTTATAAGTGTGAGCCACCAGTATCCAGCAACATGTCTTAATAAAATGATCAAATGGTCAAGATCTAATTGGAGAGAGAGAGAGAGAGGAGAGAGAGAGGCATCCAGATGTTGGTGGCTCATGTCCATAATACTAGCTATTCGAGAGGCTGAGATTTGAAGCCAGTCAGGGTAGACAATCCCTAACTAACCAGTTTAAAAAAAGCTGGGCGCCAGTGGCTCCTAGCTCCTCAGGAGGCTGCCAGTCTAGGCAGGAAAGTCCATGAAACTCTTATCTCCAATTAACCACCAAAAAGCCAGAAGTAGAGCTTTAGTGGTAGGGAACTAGCCTTGAGCAAAAAACCTCAAGGACAGCACCCAGGTCCTGAGTTTAAGACCTAGGATCCACTCCCCACCTCCTCCAACAAGCCAGAATTGGAGATATGGCTGAAGTATAGAGTGCTTAGCAGACAGTGAAAAAGCTGAGCCAGAGTCTGAGGCCCTGAGTTCCAGCCCCATTATTGGCATGTGTGGACATGTGTGTGCACAAACACACACACACACATACACACACACAATGTTAGCCCAATGAGCTCCCTTCCCATTGCTTAGCACACTCCTTTCCTTTTCCAAAGCTTAGCATACTCATTTCCTAGGCAAAACTAGTAAAAGCAGTAAATAATCAGCCTCCAGCTCCCCTTTACCTTTGGGATGGCACTTCTCTGGGGCAGCTACTACCATATAAGGCAACAAGAGCTCCTTAGAGTGACCTTCAGGTCTGGGCAGCTGCAGGACCCCTTATCTACTAACTGGGCAGCATCCATAAATCCTAGCCCACCATGATGAAGCCCCTGACCCACAGGTCTACATCAGGGTCTCTGCCTCCTAGCCCCTTCTAACCCCTCCTAAACCTCCTAGGTTATAGAAGTCACCTCAGACAATAGCCAGCACTTCTTCTCACTCTTTTCTTGTGAGAAGGGGTCTTGCTGGTCCCTATATTGGCAATAAACCTTTCTTTGTTCTTTGTACCTGGATGTCTGCATGGTTTTCTAGCAAAATCTAATATATATACTATAACACACACACACACACACACACACACACACACACGGCAGAGGCCTGATATTCTGGGCCAGCCTCATCCTCTGGTGGCTGGAAGTGGGTGCTCATGAGCATCATTACCCTCTCAACTCTGTTGTAGATGTGCCAGGCCTCCAGGCCGCCTCCCTCATTGGACACCTGCAACAGGAGGCTCACTGGGCCTTATGTGAAGTCTTGGAGCCCTGGTACCCAGCAGGCCAAGGCCGCCTGGCCCGAGTCCTCCTCATGGCCTCCACCCTCAAGAGCATTCCACCCAGCCTTCTTGGGGACCTCTTCTTCCGGCCTATCATCGGAGACGTTGACATCACTGGACTCCTGGAAGACATGCTTTTGCTGAGGTGACCTGAGGAAGAGGGAGCCAATGCTTCTAGAGGGGGAAGCCTGACAGCGCCCAGTTCCACAGGAGCAGTCTCTCACCCATCCAACCCCAACTTGCATTTCCTTGGCTTGGAAGTAGTGCTATAGCAACCTCGTAGGACTTCGGTGGTGCCTAGAGGCTCTGGGCTAGAACTCCCTGTCCTCTCCGGGGATAGGGATGGAAGTTTAGATTACTGTTGATCCAGAAATCCTCCTGACTTTGTACAGACCTAAATTAATTTATTGGTTTTTGTAATAAAAAGTGTGACATGCTTGAAGCTACACACTGTTATTTCTTTATATGAAATGGACTCATTCACCTCCAAGGTCACTCTGCCCTTGTCAGAGGGAGCCCAAAGGAAGGAGCCCTAAGGAACACAAGGACTAGGTCTAGAGGAGCTAGAACATTAATTTTTCGGAGGAAGATGATGACTTGTGTGTGTGTGTGTGTGTGTGTGCATGTATATTAGTATTGGAGTTTGAACTCAAGACTGTGTGCTCTTGATTGGCTTTGCCTTTTTTTTTTTTTGTCTTAGGGCCTGAACTCTGATCCCTCAGCTCTTCAACTCAAGGCTAGTACTCTACCACTTGAGCCACAGCGCCACTTCCGGCTTTTTCTGCTTATGTGGTGCTGAGAATAGAACCCAGAGCCTCATGTATGCAAGGCAAGCACTCTACCACTGAGCCACTTTCCCAGCCCTGGCTTTGTCTTTTTTGTTTTGTTTTGTTTTTTTGGTTGGTAATGGGACTTGAACTCTGGGCTTGAGCCCTATCCCTCAGCTCTTCAGCTCAAGGGGAGTGCTCTACCACTTGAGCCACAATGCCACTTTTGGTTTTCTAGTGGTTTATTGGAGATAAGAGTCTTACGGACTTTCCTGCCTGGGCTGGCTTTGAACTGCCATCCTTAGATCTCAGCCTCCTGAGTAGCTAGGATTACAGGCATGAGCCACTGGTGCCTGGCTAGCTTTGTCTTCTTATAAAGCTGGTGCCCTACCACTTGAGTCATTCATCTAGGTCCAGATTTTTGCTGGTTAATTGGAGATAAGTGTCTCATGAACTTTTCTGTCACAGCTGACTTTGGACCATGATGCTCAGATCTCAGCCTCTTGAATAGGATTACAAATGTGAGCCAATGGTGCCTGGTGTGACTTTATTGCAAAGGATGGGATTCATTTTATACATGGATCTGAATCCAGCTGACTATACCAGTTCACAACCCTGTCACTTCCTTGGCCTTATCAGTGGGGCAGGGGAGAGAGAATAGTTTTCTAAGTCACACTCTCTACTGGCTCTCTCTTATCTCAGGAATAGTAGAGGCACAGCCAATCAGGAAGCAATCTAGTCACAAATTAAACAAGGCCACTGAAGCTGGGCACTGGTGGCTCATGCCTGTAATCCTAACTACGCAGGAAGCTGAGATCTGAGGATCCCAGTTTAAAACCAGCTCAGGCAGGAAAGTCCATGAGACTCTTTTTTTTTTTTTGGTCAGTCATGGGTTCTAAACTCTGGGCCTGGACACTGTCCCTCAGCTCTTTAACTCAAGGCTAGCATTCTACCACTTGAGCCACAGCGCCACTTCCAGCTTTTTCTGCTTATGTGGTACTAAGGAATCAAACCCAGGGCCTCATGTATGCAAGGCAAGCACTCTACCACTGAGCCAACTTCCTAGGCCCATCCATGAGACTCTTATCTCCAATTAACCACAAGAAAACCAGAAGTGGTGCTGTGGCTCAAATGTTAGAGCACTGGCCTTTAGCTGAAGAGCTCAGGGACAGTGCTTAGGACCCAGAGTTCAAGCCTCGTGACCAACTAAAAAAATAAAAAATAGGGCTGGGAAAGTGGCTTAGTGGTAGAGTGCTTGCCTTGCAAGCATGAGGCCCTGGGTTCCATTCCTCAGCACCACATAAGCAGAAAAAAGCTGGAAGTGGCACTGTGGCTCAAGTGGTAGGGTGCTAGCCTTGAGGTGAAGAGCTGAGGGACAGTGCCCAGGCCCAGAGTTCAGCCCCACGACTGACCAAAATAAATAAATAAATAAAAGGTTAGCCAGGTGTAGCTACTTAGGAGGCTGAGATCTAATGATGGCAGTTCAAAGCCAGCCTGGGAAGAGAGTTCTTGAGTCCTGGAGCTTGAACTCAGGGCCTGGGTGCTGTCCCTGAGTTTCTTTTGCTCAAGGCTAGGACTGAACCATTTGAGCCACAGTGCCACTTCCTGCTTTTTCTGTTTATGTGGTACTGAGGAATTAAACCTAGGCCTTCATGCATACTAAGCAAGCACTCTACCACTAAGCCACATTCTCAGCCCTCTTGAGACTTTTATATACAAGTAACCACCAGAAAACTAGAAATGGTGTTGTAGCTCAAAGTGGTAGAGCACTAGCCTTGAGCAAAAAAGCTCAGGGACAGTACCTAGACCCTGAGTTCAAGCCCAGGACCAAAAAAAAAAAAAAAAAAGAACAAAAAACAAAAACAAGGTCATTACAATTTCTTTCTTGTTTTTTTCTCTGTCATGGGTGGGGCTTAACCTCTGGGCCTGGGTGCTGTCCCTCAGCTCTTCAGCTCAAGGCTAGCATTCTACCTCTTGAACCACAGCGCAAGTTTTCTGAGTGGTTTACTGGAGATAAAAGTCTCACAGACTTTCCCAGGCTGGCTTTGAACTGTGCTCCTCAGATCTCGGCCTCCTGAGTAGCTAGGATTACAGGCGTGAGCCACCAGCACCAGGCTGTCATTACAATTTCTGTAGCTTAGGATCCTTGAATTTCCTCCATTCCTGCAGCTGGCACAAAAGAGCAATGTTACTTAGGGTTGGTCTGCAAGCTGCCCAGAGGCAAAGGCAGGCTGAAGCTTAGCCAACCCACAATGGTTTGGACACACAAGTTGTGAAAGTTTACAACATTTCCATGACACTTGGTTCCCTTCCGGAGTTCCCTTCTGCCGCTCCTCTGCAGTGACCCTATCCTGGGATCCTCTGTCTAGACATTCCCATTGTCCAACTACTTGGAAGGCCATGGCCTCCTGCACTGTTCCATTCAGAGGTAGCTTGGATCTGTTCTGATGGGTCAATGTCTGTGCCTCAATGTTTGTGAAAGATTGAGACCTGGTCAGGGTGACTGACCTTAAGGGTGGACAGGAGAGAAAGATAACAGCAGCAAAGCCTGTAGGACCTGCAAGCCTCCTGACCTGGTTAGGCCCCACCCCATTGTCACCACAGTTTGGATCCTTTTTCCAGGGGATCAAGTTAATTATTGCTCAGCGAAAGGTCATTCTCATAGGGACAGCAGCCCAGGAGTCATCATTCAGTCCTCACGCTCAAGCCCCCATCTTAGAACCACGCTGAACTGGCCATGTCCCCATGATATACACTCAGTGCCAGCAACAAGGCCATCCCTGTCCCTCACCCAGTCTCCTGCTCAATAATCATCACTGGTCAGAAACAGCTTACACCCCACTACAAAGATACACGTAACTCAGATGTGTAAGTCAGACCCACCCGCACAGACACTGACTTCCCCAAACATACTTTGAACCCATCCATACACAGCACAGAAAGCATGGCACACAGCTGGGGATGTGGCTTAGTGGTAGAGAGTTTGCCTAAAAGGCATAAAGCCCTGCATTCGATTCCTCAGTACCACATACAAAGAAAATGCCGGAAGTGGCGCTGTGGCTCAAGTGGTAGATTGCTAGCCTTGAGCAAAAGAAGCTCAGGGACAGTGCCCAGGCCCTCAGTTCAAGCCCCTAATATAAGCGGGCCCCAACATGTTCACACATCTCAGTCTCCTCAGAATCTACAGATTCAGGACAAACTGCTCTACCTAGCATTCAGAACCTCAACTAACCAATCATTCCTGTCCCTATCCATAGTGACTCTAGACATCAACCCTCTTCTCAACCACTCCCTTCAGCTAATGCCTACTCAAATCTCCCAATAGAAGCATCATTTAGAACCAGTACAAGCCCTGTATTTCTCTACCTCACACCAGGCCCCCAGACCTTGACTTCATGCCATCAGGACAGTTTACCTTCCCTTCCCAGCCTGCCTTAGCCTCTGATACATACAGCCCTTCAAATCTTGCCAACTCAAGAGGTGACTCTTAGCTAAGTACCAGTGACTCATGCCTATAATCCTAGTTGTTCAAGAGGCTGAGATCTGAGGATTGTAGTTTGAAGCCAGAAGGACAGAAAAGTTTGAAGCCAGCAGGACAGAAAAGTCCATTAGATTCTTTTCTCCAATTAAACACTAAAAAGCCAGGAGTGGGGCCTGGGAATGTGGCTTAGTGGTAGAGTGTTTGTCTAGCATGCATGAAGCCCGCCCTGGGTTCGATTCCTCAGTACCACATACACAGAAAAAGCCAGAAGTAGCACTGTGACTCAAGTGGTAGAATGCTAGCCTTGAGCAAAAGAAGCTCAGGAACAGTGCCCAGGCCCTGAGTTTAAGCCCCAGAACTGGCCCAAAAAAAGCCAGAAGTGGGGCTGTGGTTCAAGTGATAGAGTGCCAGCCTTGAGCAAAACAGCTAAGTGACAGTGCCTAGGCCTGGAGTTCAAGCCCTAATATCAACACAAAATCAAAACAAAATAAAAGATGACTCTTGCGAGAGTTGAAAACTTGTTTTCCTGATATGACTCTATCTAGCAAATTCAGGGACTTAGGCTCACCCTATTTCTGTGATGCCCTTTCACTAACTGCCTCTAATAATTAACAGTGGTATACCCCTGACCCTTTCCTTCTCCTCTCCTTCCCTTTCCATAGATATGGTCTAAAGAAACAAGAATGCTACAGTGCCATAAGAGCAATACTGCTTTTTCTAGTAGCCTGCACTTTTCAAAGGTGGAGGACTCTGTCCCCATTATAAACATTCTGGGGTGGGACTTGTGTCTCATTTCCAAGCAGGGAAGAAGAAACAGGTCAAGACAGGGTATGTAAGTTACTCAAGGTCTGAGCTGGTCGTCTGTGCTGAGATTTGTGTGATTCAAGAGGTCAGGTTCTCATCACCAGCACAGGCTGGAGTGAGTCATGGTCAGGCCCAGGCTGTCTGGTGTGTCACTTCAGCCTTTATTTACTCCTTAGCCACCATCCCTGTGTAGGCCCAGGCAGGGATGACTCACTCAGGAAAACAGGAGAGAAGTTGTGGCTCTGGATCTGCCTAGGGTACCATTTTGTTAACCTCACTATCCCTGTCATCATTAGCTAAATCATTAGCTGTGTGTTAGGCAGTCTAGCAGCTAATGTGTGCTGGGCCCTGCAATGAACAGCCTGCCCTTAGGCA